CCGTAGCGGCGCGGTGCCGCGCGGGGAGCCATGGCGGACGTGCAGCAGCTTCGGGTGCAGGAGGCGGTGGACTCCATGGTGAAGAGCCTAGAAAGAGAGAATATCCGGAAGATGCAGGTAGCCGGGCGGCAGCCGACTCGGGGGGAGCCCGGCGGTGCGACGTTCCCGGGCCCTTCCCGTGGTTCCCGACCCCTTCCCGCAGCCCGTTTCCGTCCCGCAGCCGCCCCTCCCCGCAGAGCCGGGTCGGGCGTCCCCAGGGTCGCCGCGGCGCCCTGGGAAGCGGGCCCTGCCCTCCTCGGGTGGAAACGCTGGCGTTTGGGCTGCGCGGATGAAACCTGCGCGTCCTCGCCCCGCGCGAGGCCGTTTATCGCCCCGACCGACCCGGGGGCGAGGAGGGGCCCGGACTCGGCTTAGGGAGCCCCTGGGGTGAGGCGTGGGCCCCGCCTTCCCGGCTAGCCCGGCCCCCGGTGCGGGCGAGCGGCCTGAGGCCGAAAGAGCGTGGCCAAGGTGAAAGACCGGGGAGGTGAAAGCGCCTCCTCAGGGGCCGGGCCGTGCCCGGTCTTCCCGCGGCGAAGCGCTGGTTTATGTGCTGTTCGCGTTGATCCCCTAAATGTTTTGTGGCTGTTGGTCCTGCTTCCCTAAGAGGATTGTGAGTTTCCCTTGTAGTACCCCCCGTCATTGATTAATGAATGGGTTAGCCCCGGTGGAATACAGATTACTAGGCTGCCGACCTCTGAACCCTGTGTTATAGGCGCCTGGTTTTCAGAATTTGGCTTCATCCGACCCTCGGCCACCTTCCCCATCCAGCCAGCCCCGGAGGCAACAGTTGCCACTGAGCTAGAAGCAAGAAGGCCAGGACACTCTCTGAGAGGCACAAAGGATCATTTTCCCATTCCTGATGTCTAGTCTAAGGAGAGGTGCAAATACATAGGCACTCCTCCTAACGCCTGTTGCACTCCATGATCATCTCTGTCCCTGGGGCTTAACTACCTGACCCCTCTCTACCCTCCCTTACCAGGGCCTCATGTTCCGGTGCAGTGCTGGCTGTTGTGAGGACAGCCAGGCGTCCATGCAGCAGGTGCACCAGTGCATTGAGCGCTGCCACGCACCCCTGGCTCAAGCCCAGGCCCTGGTTACCAGCGAGTTGGAAAAGTTCCAGGTGAGGAATATCCCAGACAGGACTCTAGTCCTTGATGCTGTTCTTTTGCAGATGACAAGCATTTGCTACAAAACTCTTCACTTTGGTGTCTTGGTTCTATTAACACTGGTGACAGTGCTGTGGTCAACCAGTCTTCACAGTGTTTGAAATTTGGGCACAGTCCTGGAGATTGCTTGCTGTATTTCCCATAGAAACAATGAGTTACCAAGGGAGTTCATGACCAAGAGCCTTATGCTTTTTTTTCTGTAGTTACCAAATACTTTATATATATATATATATATATATATATATACACACACACACACACACACACACACACACACTGTATAATGCAAACCTTTCTAAAACATATATTAATTCCTTCTTACAATAGCAGAATCCCCAGGAAAATGGAATAGACTTGTCTTAAAAAGGTACAGACTGCCCACTTGCTACACCCAGAGGGCAGCCTCCATGTCACTAAAGAGCAGTCATTTATATGAAGCATTATTGTTGACTCCCTGAAGCCTGCCTCACAAGACCCTCTGAGGTCACTAGGAGCCCCCTGTATCTCTGTCTGGAGCAAAGGGTAGCCACAGCTTCATTTTACTCACTTCCTCTGAGTATACTTTTCTGGAACTTGGGGGAAGCAGGGCCCATTTCTATTAAGTTTTTCATAGCCTAGGTTTTGGTTCACATGGATAAATTATATCTAATGTTATACATTTTTACACGCTGTCTGGAGCAAAGGGTAGCCACAGCTTCATTTTACTCACTTCCTCTGAGTATACTTTTCTGGAACTTGGGGGAAGCAGGGCCCATTTCTATTAAGTTTTTCATAGCCTAGGTTTTGGTTCACATGGATAAATTATATCTAATGTTATACATTTTTACACGCTGTCTGGAGCAAAGGGTAGCCACAGCTTCATTTTACTCACTTCCTCTGAGTATACTTTTCTGGAACTTGGGGGAAGCAGGGCCCATTTCTATTAAGTTTTTCATAGCCTAGGTTTTGGTTCACATGGATAAATTATATCTAATGTTATACATTTTTACATTCTGCTGTATAAAATTCTTTAAAATTGCTGATAGGAATAATGTCTCCAAAATCATTAAACTCCAAAGGGGTTTTATGTTTATTTTGACACCTAATTTTATAACTAGGATCTTTGAAATTTTGATTCTTGGATTGCTGTATGACATTTCAGTCCTCTCCAGTAAGACTTACTCTCCTACTATGCCAGAACTGCTCTTACCATTCCCCTCCACGGGGCTAAATCCATGGGTCATTTCTCATTCTTCATCTTAATCTACTTACATCATTCGCATAGTAGCGTCATTCTCCCGCTCCTTGAAACACTTCATTTAGTTGGCTACCAGGACACCTCACTTTCCTGGTTTCTACCTCTCTCCTTAGCTGTCCTTTTGTGGCCTCCTTTGCTGGCTTTTACCCTTTCCAACCTCTGCACATTGGAGTTCCCAGGGCTGTCCTTGAATCTTTTTTCTATCTAGGTCTCTCTAGTCTCATGGTTATAATTATCATCTATATGCTTACGACTTCTACATTCATATCTCTAAACCAACTTCATTCCTGATCTCCAAATTCATATATCCAACTGTTCCCTCAACATCTCCACTTATGTATTTTATTGGCCTATCTCCCCTTACTGGAATATAAGTTCTGTGAGGGCAAAATTTTATCTGTTTTATTCATTGCTGTATCCTTCATTAGAAAAATGCCTGGCACATAGTAGATGGTCAGTAAATAATTGTTGAGTGTTTTTCTGTAGCAAGGACAGGCATTAAATAATCAAGATGTTTGTAAGTCTTTCTGTAATTGAGTAACTGGCCTCTGGTTACTTCTCACTTCCTGGAAGGGGCTTCTGTATAATTTATTCTGTCATTCACCTGCTTTCTAGTAATGCTTTGTCTGGGCCCTCCTGGTGCCACCTCTGTTTCAATCAGGATAATCCAGTTAATTTCACGATAGTGTCTCTTTTCATTTATTTTTATTGTTGAAGAGTATTACAGATGTCCCTATAGTGTCTCTTTAATTCATCAAGATAATACATGTTTGTTTGTTTGTTTAAATATATCTTTATTGATTTCAGAAAGAGGAAAGGAGAGGGAGAGAGAGATAGAAACATCAATGATGACAGAGTCATTGATTGAGCCCACAGCCCGGGCATGTTCTCTGACCGGGAATCGAACCCCGATCACCTGGATCCTAGATCGATGCTCAACCGCTGAGCCACACCCGGCCGGGCAAGATAATACATGTTGAGCCAAAACACAGCACATCCTCAAACAATGTCATTTTGTTATAACATTGACGAAATACCATAGGAACTTAACTATTTTATATCAGTTAGCCTATGGTAAATTTGGTTTTATTGTACATTATTTTGCCGCAGTTCCATTGACAACATTAAGTAAGGACTTAACTATATGTAGAACAGGGCCTAGCACATGATAAGCATTCTGTAACTAAAGGCCAGTTTCTCAGCCTTCTCTCCCCTCCTCTTGCCACAGGACCGCCTGGCCCGGTGCACCATGCATTGCAATGACAAAGCCAAAGATTCAATAGATGCAGGAAGTAAAGAGCTTCAAGTGAAGCGGCAGCTGGAGAGTTGTGTGACCAAGTGTGTGGATGACCATATGAACCTCATTCCAACCATGACCAAGAAGATGAAGGAGTCTCTCTCAGGCATTCAGAAATAGAAGTCTTTGCCATTGGCCATTGAGGCTGAGGGCAGGAATCTATTTAAAATGAAGAGTGAGAATTTTGGTCTTTTAAGCAAAGTTTATGGATGAAGAAATTAAGGATGGCAGCAAGTTTAAGGCATGTGTCACTTGCCCCTGGACATTGGTTCTTTTATGTTTTAATCCTAGAAAGTGAAATGGAAAAAACTGGTGCTAAAATTTGGGTCAGAGAGTTTTGAGAGCCTAAATTTTATGTGAAAAATGCTTATCCTGGTAGCAGGCATTTCCCTCAAACAAAGCCAGAGCCCTCTTGAGATACCAACAGGCTGACAGGTTCCTCTATAACCTGCCAGTGATCTGGCAGAATGTGAGGAGAGGTGTTTCTGTTTGTTGCCAACCTCCTGTTTACCAGAAGCATTACCACACCATTTTCCATAAGCTGTGAAACAAAAGCCATGAGGTCACTAATTTAGAATGGGAAAAACGGTTTCTGGGTATTTGTTTTGCTTGGTTTTGTTTTATATACAAGGGCATGAAGTTGATTTAAGATGTGGAGTTTGGGGAGGTAGTTTGGATAAAAACTTGGAAAAGTTCCTTTGGATATCCGTTTCTGTCTGTCATGTGAATGTGCACATCTTAAATTCTCACACATTACATCTTCCAGCTCAGCGACCCTCCAGAAACATGAGAGGCAGTGTCACACTGGGTGTGGAAGCAGACAGACCTTCCTTCTCACTGGCTGCTGAGATGGGCCCTAAGCCTGTCTATAGCAGAGTGACGGGACAATCTTGCAGTGGTACTCTACCTTGAAGGAAAAGGGGGTTTCGATTGTGCTATATACCAATATCCAGGATTGAACAGTGCAAGAGGAACTGTTGGCTGCTTCATTAAGTTACTAAGTACTGGATTTGGGAAAAACCTGGTTTTCAGGAATGAAACCTAAACCCAGTATTGCTTACTTAGCCCCCTCAAATAACAGAGCCCTACTGAGATAATCCTTTGGCAACAGGAAGGTCAAGGGAGAAAAAGCAAGCAACTCAGGGGTGAGCTATTGCTCCATTAGAGCAAAAGAGGGGCAGCCCCTCATTACCCAATACCACTTTTGGCTGGGGCCTTTGCAACATGTGTTCCTACCCCAGCTTTGGCACCTTACTATTTTGATAAGGACCTTGTTGTCTTTTTACCAACTTCTTACTTGAAATGATAATATAGCCTGTCTGTTTCCTGTTTCAGGGCTATGATATATTTTCCTAGTGGTCTGGTTTTAAAAAATAAATGAGGTTTAATTTTTCCTCCACTATTGTGTTTTTTATATCTGGGCAGTGAATATATAACTTTCTAAGAATGCTTTTCTTTGTAATGTGTGAAATAACTTTCTTAAGAGGTCCAGAAGAGTGAAAGTTAGGTGTTACGGTTTAGAAGCAGGACCTGGTCATTGTAAACGGGAAAATTTTCGTGGGCACCTGAAGTCCATTAATGTCAAAAGATAGAAACTGTCTATAAGACTAAAAAAACGATTTCAGTAACTATGTCAGGTTTCTAGTTTCAACTAAACACTAACAGCAAGAGGTAGAAAAGATACAGTTATGACCCCTCTTGAGAATATGCAATATCTAGGATTTTAAGTACCAAGAGAATACAAAATATGTGATTAGTTTAAGTCTTTACTATCATTGGTATTTCAATACAGGGGTGGGCAAAAGTAGGTTTACAATTGTTCATATGGAAAATACAATCCTTAATACAAGAATAAAGTCTGTGCTTTGTGTACTCACAACTGGAAACCTCTTTTTGCCCATCCTGTAGAGCCATTCCTGAAAATTGGGCATGAATTCAATTTTAGAGAACCATCCAGCACTTAGAATCACCAAAGCTTTTCTATTTTGGTCCAGGTTTTCTATAATCCCTATTGTATTTGATTCATAAATGTGGATTCTCCTATTTGAGGTAACTTAACTGGGAATAAGTCAGAGACCACTTTTTACACTTACACTCTAATCAATACCTCATGTTAAGAGAGTTTGTGTGCTGCACTGAACATTTTATGTATGGGATCCAGGTACATTTAATTTTAAATGGGGATCTGGATGCAGTGTTACAAGAATAGCAAGACCGTCCAGTCGGGAATACACACCCTGGCTCTAGACTGAAAGTCTTTAAACTGAGGCCCTGCGACCCTCCTCTTTGGCAGAGGTCACTAATTGCGATGTTAATGAACCCCTGGGTTTAGGTATTATATGCTGTGGGAATACATTCCAAAGAATTACCAGGGGGCCACTTATCTAGAGTTTATTTTCATTTGGTATATATTAATAAGATAAACGACGCGATCCTCTAAGATTAGGGACTGACCCGTGTCGTTAAACTAGAGTCGGGACATTTATCTCAATTTTACAGAAGCTGAAACGGATTAAGGACGCCGCGAGCCCCGCCCCCCCAATCCAGGCCAATCGCCGGCAATGCAACCGGAAGCTAGGGACAGACATAACAACTCAGTCTTCCCCCAAGTATCGCGAGGTAAAATGTGAACGTTGCCGGCAGCCGATTGGCTAACAGGATCGGTGACGCCAGACGCAAAACGCCGGGCCTACCGCGGGAGCGTAGGAGCGTCCACGAATTCCGTTTGGAGGTATCTTTGAGCTCGCTTCAGCACCATGAGCAAAGCTCACCCTCCCGAGTTAAAAAAGTAAGTATCCACGAAGGCCGCGGGTGATTGGCAGCTTTTGTGTGCCTCGAGCGCCTTAGATTGCGCTCCGTTTCCCGTCCGTGCCCTTGGTGTGCTTATTCGGCTCCAGGGCCGCCGAAATCCCGAGCCAAGGGCCCGCGCTTCCGGGCCTGGCCCCCGCGCGCACGCATTTTTGCCTGGTCGGCATGGTTACCCAAGGCGGCGGAGGCGCCCGTATTTAGCCGACTTGACCGAGCCGAAGTCCCGGCCCCACGTCTCCCCCACGCTCCCCCTTGTTACTTGAAGATCTCGAATGCCACCCTTTGTTAACCATCTTAAATAGCATCCTGTTCTAGGTTCTGCTGAGGCGGGATTTTTCTTGTTTGAATTGTTTAAAGCTTCAAAATATGCATATATTTTGCTGAAATATACTTATATGTTGAAGCATAAAGCTTAATACTAAATAAAACGCTACTTATTGTCGCAAATATAGAACAAGAGCTATTGGATTGGATGTGGTCTGATTACAACTTTTGATTTCTTCACAATTTTGTTTGGTTTTGGAAATAACCAAAATGTAATCAGATCTTTGTTTTTCTGTTATGGCTATAAAATCCAGTCATTGAAAATTAGGTCAGTATTAAACAACAAGAATGTTTTTTGTATTTCACATCAGTGTAAAGACTCAGTGTGCGTTAATGTGTTTTAAAACCTATTCTGCTTTTATTGATTATCTTGCCCCTTCCCAAAATACATTGCTTTGTATAAATACTAACTGGGGTGGCCCATTACTCCCTCATCCTTTACAGCAGTACAGGGTTTTTACTATTTTAAGTTTCATTATTTCTATTGTGTAAATATAGTTTTAGCAAATTATATTGACTAGCTAGTTATTATATAATTAGGTATATACCTGCTTTTGTGCTAACTTATGCTTAAGATTTTTAAGTCAGTTATATAATCTTTATCTCTGCTTTTTCAGATTTATGGACAAGAAGTTATCGTGTAAGTTTTATTTTTTTGTTTGTTTTTTAATTTTTCAATTGCTTTTTACATGTGTCTTGGCAGTATACAATGTTTGGAGCAACTTTATAAAGATTCATAGCACACAGCCTCTAATGAATGAAGCAGGTTTAGCAAAATCCTAACCAGACAGTTTTATTTACCTAAGTTTGGGGATTTAATAAATTTCACAGTACTTTAGACTTTTCATAATTTCATATAAGCCCTCCCTGTCACAAAATTAACAGAATTTCCCTATTTTGTGATATTTGAAAATTTATCATCCTTTTTTTTTTTGGACATAGAGGACTAAAAATCTAACCCGTGTAGTACTTGAAGTTTGTAGGGGTTAAGATCATGGCTTCAGTTTGAATCCTAGCTGTACCACACAGTAGCTGTATGACCTCGAACCAGTTATTTAAAAGCCTTATACTTCAGTTTCCTTGTAACAAGTTAGGATACTTCTACTTGATAAGATTTTTGTAAGTTTAAATGTGGAAGTAAATGTAAAATTTTTAACCCAGTGCTTGGCATATAGTAAGGAAAATGGATTACATATATCGTATACTGGGTTTCACTCCACCTACTTTTTAATGAATACTTGATTGATAATGGCCAGTTTTATTAAAATTCCTTTTTCCTTTTTTATAGTGAAATTAAATGGTGGCAGGCATGTCCAAGGAATATTGCGGGGATTTGATCCCTTTATGAATCTTGTGATAGATGAATGTGTGGAGATGGCAACCAGTGGGCAACAGAACAATATTGGAATGGTGGTAAGTAAGGATGTGAGATTTCTCTTAAGAGATTTTATTTTTCATTTGGAATAAGCATTAACTTCCCTTCTATCAAAGTCTTGAATTAAACTGAAGTTAGGCAAACTACAGGCAAGATTAGACTTTCCATCTTATGAGTTTAACATTTGGCAGTCAATTCAACTGTGAAAATATCCCAGTTACCTTTAAGTTAGATCTGAATCTTATGTAGAACCCTCTGAGGTCCTTGGGCTTGAAATAGCTGTTAGAAATCATTTTTTAGCTTTATTCTATAATAGAAGTCCGTAGTCAATCTTTATTAGAGAGCAATAGTTCTCCATCTTAATTGCATCTTAGAATCAGATTAGTTTGGGACGTAGCATAAAGGTTTTTTTTAAGTTCCGAAGATGATTCTAATGTAAGGCAAAGATTAACCTCTAGTATAGAGTGTTTACCATTACCTGAGTTTTCCCAAAAAACAAAAACTAGATTCTACCCCAAAACAATTGAAACTTTATCTCTAGCCGTGCTTCTTTTTGTTAAAATATTAATGTGTTGTGAAGGTTAAGAACATGCTTATAAATTCTCAGACGGTCTTTTATTTTTAATCCTTACCCAAGGATATTTTTTCCATTGCTTTTCAGAGAGCACGAAAGGGGAAGGGAGGGAGAGAGAGAGAGAGAAGAGTGGGAGGGAGAGGGGGAGAGAGAAATGTGAGGGGGGAGAGATGTGAGAGTGGAAGGGAGAGAGAGACAGGTTGCCTCTGATTGAGCCTGCAACCGAGGTACTGCAACTGAGGTACGCAGGCCAACACTAACCACTGAACAAAACCTGCCAGGGTTCAGACTATATTATAAAAATACAGATCTTAATTCAGTAGGTGTGGGGTGGAACCTGAGATTATGCATTTCTAACAAGTGTCCATTTGATGCAGATCTGCCAGTCCACATATCACACTTTTATTTTTAATTGTGTATATAATTAACCTGGATTTCTGGTTTATTGTGCCCAAATTTAAAAGTAGTCAAGATAAGTCCTGGCCAGGTAGCTCAGTTAGTTAGAGTGTTGTCCCAGTACGCCAAGGTTGTGGATTTGATCTCCAGTTGGGGCACATAAAGGAATCAACCAATAAATATGTAGGAACAACAAATTAATGTTTCTCTTTCTCTCTCCCCCCATCTCCCTCCCCCCTTCTTCCCTTTCTCCCTCTTCCTCCTCTTCTTTCTAAAATCTATATATTTTTTTAATTAATAAAAGTAGTCAAGGTAAAAGTTGCAAAGATGGTCAGGTCATAATTACAGTCATTCACATTGGAAGAAAACAGGAATACTGAGTTCTTAATTATAGGAGCAAACATTTCTACATTCATTAGGCCATAGTGGTATGACTACTGAAGAATTATTTTTGATATTTCTCACCAAGACCCAGACTTTGAATCCCTCTCTTTTCCCAGCACAGGACAGTATACCCACTAAGTGGTAAGTCCAAGTGTTTTGGGAAAGGTGAATCAAAAAGGACAACTTGCCCAGCCGAGCTTGGCTCAGCGGTTGAGCATCAACCTAGGATCCAGGCGATCAGGGTTCGATTCCCGGCCAGGGCACATGCCCAGGTTGCAGGCTGCAGCCGATCAGTGACTCTCTCATCATTGATGTTTCTATCTCTCGCTCCCTCTCCTTTCCTCCCTCTGAAATCAATAAAGATATTTTTTTAAAAAAAAAAAAAGACAACTTAGCTTTAGTAAATCGTAGAGCATAAAGACCTCTATGAGGTGATAAGAGTTCCTAATTGTTAATAACTTGTTCTAATATTTGTGTTACTTTTTATTTCAAACATATTTTCATTACTGCATTTTGAAAAGTCCATCATCAGGGCTGGAAAAACAGCTTAGAGTCTCTAGGTATGACTTTGCCCCAGATTTCCTGTAAATCAATTTTTTCAGGTACATTCTCCTTGAGCTTCTATTTAACCCAATCGGATTGACCAGGGGCCTTTTATACAAGGTGTGGCAAAAGTAGGTTTACAGTTGTTTATGTGGAAAGTACTATAATAATTAATAAATAGTACAAGAATAAACTGTTTTGCATACTCAACACTGGTACACCTACTTTTGGCAAACCCTGTATTCACAGACCCCTTGCCTTACAGTTTGACTTACTTTTCTATCCCTCCTGAACTCAGTACCAGCCATTTCAGCTGTGCTATCATAAGTATCCTGGCTTATCTTCATTTATGGAGACACATTATGGCTGTGTCAGGCATTATGCTAGTCCTATAACTTCCTGTCTCTCTCCCCCATTCTCTTAGTTAGCCCTTAACAACATGGGTTTAAACTATGCAGGTCCACCTATACTTGGATTTTTTTCAATAAGTACACAGTATCCCTGGGTTTCACACATCCACAAATGTGGAGAGTCAGCTGTATGCATTATATAAGGGACTTGAGCATCCTTAGATTTTGGTACCTGCAGGGGGTCCTGGAAACAATCCCCTTCAAGGTATGACTGGAAGTCAGAAGCGATACACAGATTTTTCAACTGTGTGTGGGGGGGTCGACACCCCTATGTCCTGTATTGTCTATACTGTTGCCAGAACTGGTCATTCCAACTGTGAAACTTTCACTGGTGCATTTTTGGTTTCATGATCCCCTCCACACACTTTTAAGATTGGTGTTTAAGCCCAGCTAGGCATGGCTCAGTGGTTGAGCATCATCCTAGGATCCAGGAGATCACAGTTCGATTCCCAGTCAGGGTACATGCCTGAGTTGCAGGCTCGATACCCAATCAGGGGCATGCAGGAGGCAGCCGATCATTGAAGACTGTCTCATCATTAATGTTTCTATCTCTCTCTCCCCCTCTCCCTTCCTCTCTCTGAAATCAATAGATATATTTAAAAAATAATTGGTGTTTAAGGCCTTCTAAGGTTGGGAGCAAACCATCTTTGTTTCCACTTCCCTTCATAGCCTTTTACTGCCAATTATTTTCTTATCCCCCAGATAAGATACAGAATTTCCTATTTTCTTGTTAAAATTCTACCCGATTTTCAAAGCCCAGCTAAAGTGCCATTTCATAAAGCCTACTTTTCACAGCTTTCATTCTGGTTTGTTCCCTGAATGATCTTAAACCCATAAACTAACATGCATATTCTTTTGTACATATTTTCCCCATTAATTTCTGAATCCCTTAGAGGCAGTGGTGGGCATGTTATTTGAGTTCTGCAACTTAGGAGGTGAAATGAGTCATTGGAGACTTGGTATCTCAAAAGGGTGGTGGTTAGCCTTTGATCTAGAAGATGTGCATCTCATTAAAAAGGGCTTAAATGGCTTCATGGAGTGATTAAAAGACTTGAGTTATTTGGTGTTCCTAAGGCTTGAAAAAAAGCCTCAAACTGACATTTAATAGTGAAAAACCATTAATGATTTAGTGAAAATTCTTTAATCATGATTTGATATGTCAAATGATTTATGGCCTTTTAAAATTTACTTTTCTCTTAGGTAATACGAGGAAATAGTATCATCATGTTAGAAGCCTTGGAACGAGTATAAAGAATGGCTGAATTCACCAGAGATGAACTACTTCCACATGTCCCCTCTCCATGCAGTACCTGTTTTAACACAATATAAAAATCCAGTCCTGTCCATTTTCACACTGAACTTTTGTTAAATAAACTTTTGTATTGATCAAAAAATGCTTTCTCATATGTCTGAACTTAGAAAGTAGAATATTAGCTCTAATTTTTTTTCTTATATGAACTATTCCTGGTTAAGACTGATTTTTTTTCCAAAGGGGGTTGTTGTTTTTTTGCATTGATAAAGAATCTGATCAACGTAAAACAGCAAGGATGCCTTTTTCCTATCTTTTAACACTGAATAAAGAACCTATAAACCTGAGTGGGTTCCTTCTGAAACACTAACTGTAATTCTCAGAATTCTTTGATATACTCTGGCTTTTCCAAGCACATCTACATACCAGGTAGAATACAACAGAAAACAGGAAGTAATGATGTTGCTG